AACTAACTTCCTCTCTCTCTCTCTCTCTCTCTCGTTTTTCCAGTTGTTTCCACCAACTTCAGTCATCCATCATATTCGACAGTCATAAGAGTTGACAGAATTTTAAACTTTGTTAAATAGCTATTCTAATGTACTCAATATTATTTTGGGAACAGGAAATTTCAGTGAGTGAAAAACAATAAAAATTAAGTGTGATAAGACTGACAACCTGAAATACATCAAACCCTGTTGATGTATATTTAATTAAAACATCTAAATCAGTAATGTATGTTTGTGAAAGCAGCTTTCAAACACTCAACTCCCAAGCTTTTATTTCCACTTAAAAACTTTATCTGTATCAGACTGGAGAGCAACACTGAACTAAGAAGATAGAGCATTGATAACACTATTGCAAGGTTTCTTCAAGAGTATTTTTATCACTTCTTATGCAGCCACTATCGATAACAATCATTTATCTGATCTAGAGATCGATTGATAAACCTCATCCATAACACATTCTACAAATTTATTTACCATAGGATCGAAATGAAACATTCACCAGAATATGATTCTGGGACATTTACAATTGATACTTTGAACGGATTCTGAATTGTTGAATTGGAATGAATAGAAAATCACGTTTAATTAGTGGAGGGTTATTAGTTATCGTAATTAAGTGGAAGAGATGAATAACATCCTTAACAAATTATGATTGGATAATACTCATAAGGAGTTATTTTATGAACTAAGCTCAGTAAACAAGGGGAAATTAGTTGCAATGTTTTCGTTTCTATATTTGTTCTCCGTCCGTTGTGACTTGTAATGAATGATGGTGATGTTGATAACGATAATGATGATAATAATGATAATGGTAATGTTGATGATGATGTTACCCATTAGCAAGCAAAGTATTGCGGCTTTCGGTTTTCTTACAAATAATCAGTCTAATCTCCACTTTCATAAGTACTTTTAGCTTCCAAAATAAAGAGAAACTGAAAATATTTCAGGATGACAGGGTTGACACATCCTAATTTATCTAATTTCTCTGCTATTTTTAAGTAAAATGAAAGGACAACAGTATTTAGCGGCTGTGAAATTTCGAGAAGTTTTTCTTTTTTCAATGCGTTCTTTACGGCGTCATTTGCAATGTCATCTGTCTATTTGCCAAACAATTCCTATAAATATTTCTGGATAGGTAGGCGGAAATAGGGGCGGGACATTTGCGCCAACTTATCACTGTTGAAGCATCATTAAGCTGATTTGAATGTTTATACTATTCTTTATGTGTAATTTCATCATATTAGCTTACCTGAAATGAATGAGCATTCCGATGCAAATCTGTTCTATGCATTTTAGTTCTCTCAAAATATTTTCCAAATAAATATTTTCACCTGAATTCTATCCTGAAATCAATTCCAGTTACTATAATTTAAATGGAATAAACAGTTGTAAAGATTGACTATCATGGGACGTTTTTTAGTGATAATTTTAATGGTGATTTAAATCTATTTCAGAAAAAAAATATATCGCTGACTTTTTTGATAGTTTTGGTGAAGGAGACAGTCTGCTCCTTTATTACCGAGATCATGAAGGGAAAAGTGACATGACTGAATTTAGGGCTGTCGCATGCTTTGATTTTATTCTAAGCTTGTGGAGAATGGAGCATAAAGTCTTCTTTACAGCTCCAGCTCAACATATGAATTTCTCAACAACGATTCCTGATGAGGTAACACCAACTACAGCATGCGAGGAAACCGTCATCGTTGACCCTGATGTGGCATCTACCTCCACCCACCAGATGCCCAAAAAGGTTTGAAGCACTTCGAGGTTCTTCAAGTTCTTCTAATAAAAGTATTTCTCAATTACTATCGATCCAAAATGTTGACAGGAGAGAGAGACGACAACATTGCAATTATCAATATCATTTTCTTTTAAATCTTCATTCTCTGAAATTTTATTCTCAAACATTTCAAATTCAGTTTTTGGCTGATTTCAACAAGTATCTCAAACTCAGTTTTTGTAGTTTTCCAACTGACCAGTTGAAAAAAAACGAAAAATTTAACTTTAACTTATAAATAGATGCTAAATCAAACATGATTGAAACGGGCTTGTCATTTCAGGGGATTTTAAAACGATCCTCATCACATAGTAATTTTCCTCGTAAGGATGCTGTACAACGAAATGTAACTGGACAAGTCTTCGAATTTAAGCAATCTTCCGATCGATTAACTGATCGACCAACTACGAAAATTCCGAAATTAACGCTTACCTGGTCTGAAAAAAATGCAGGTATAACCTGAAGTTGGCAGTTTTACTCATGTTTTCCAATATTATTGCTGTTTCGATAACTGCCTACCCAGCTGGGTGGTATACAGAAAATCTCGGGGTTTTATGAAATCAAACGAGTATTCAATCTAAAGGTTACTATCTCTTCTAAGAACATAGCAGATGAAATTTTTTGATTTCAAGTATTGTTTTACTGTCGAAGGATTCGTTGTAGTAAGATTGAACTTAATTGGCAAAACTTAATTATTCAAATAAAATTGACTCTCTCATGACTATCAAGAATTTAAAGCACTAATGAGTGGTATAATTAAGTGCAAATCAAATCAATAATATAATCAAATGATGATGTATCTTTGTTGCAGTTTTATAGACTTAAATCATCTATTCGTTACAGTAACTATTTATGGTGACACAACATCTGACGACGCAACAACCGAAACGGACGATATTCAAGTTCCAATAATCGCTCCAATCTCAACCACTCAGAATTTATCACAATCACAACCATCTGCTAAACTGAATGGTAATAAGCGATTATTGAACTTGAAAGAATTAAAATTAAGTGAATTAAGGATTTAAGTTTATAGTGAATAAGTATTCTTTATTTCTATAAAACTTGCTGTACATTTGTCACCTCACCAAAACATGAGGAACACCATATCAAATTGTTTGTTTGCAGAATATTGGACGAAAATTGCTGTGCATGCAAAACAGAAGGATATGAAACCGGAACGACAAACAGCGATCCTATACGATGAAGATGAAAATGAAGATGAAGTGATGATGAAGAATGATGAGGAAGTACTGTATGGTGATGATGATGATGATGATAACGATGATGATGGTGATGATGAAGATGAAGAACTTGCCGAAGTTAATAATGATAATCAACACCATGATAACGTTAAACTGCAATCAAATGCAGTTATTGGCAATTCACACATAGCTGGCAAATGGTGGTTCGGCAAAAGCACTAAGTAATACTTATCTTTTTAGCTTTAAATATATACTATTTTGTATTAAAAGTGGCCTATATGATATTGAATAAGTACTGATTATTCAAGGTAATATCCATAAAAGCTTTAATTTCTTTGATTTAAAGTTTAAATTGATGGATGAACTTTCCTGAAATAATTTTAAATAGATATATGAACATAACTGAGCTTAATTTTTTTTCAGAAATGTATTCAAAAATTTGACATACTTTTATTTTTCAGAAAAATTTGACATACTTTTATTTTTCAGAAATGTTCCGCACTGTGCCAAATGGGGCTGTTCTCACAGTCATCGTGATAAGGAATCTACTGATAATGGTGATAAGTATTTGACACCAACACAACAACGATTCAAAGAAATTCATCATCTCAGGAAACAGCTGAAGTTTGTATTTCTTTTTTTCAGGAAAATATTGAATTGATAATATTTTTTTTCGTTTTCCCGTTCACTTTTTATATGCAAAAGATAAATTTATCATGTCGTTATCATTATCACTGTTAACTGTAATGAATATGATGGAAATGTTTCGAGAGCTCTTTTTATTGTTAAATTAGTCGTTTTTTAAATATTTATGAAATTTAACAAATATTTTATCACAAATTTTAGGCTAGCATTGGCTAAAGTGGAAGAGAAAGATTTGCATCTGAATGAGTTACGTGATAAGTTACGTGATTTGGAATCAGCTATGGGTTCCATGAATAGCACAGATCGACAACAACAGCTCCTGCTCCAGCACAAAGAATTTAATGGAGATTATGAACGTGAGAAGCAGAAACTTATCGACAACCATGAGGTGGATTACTCAGTCAGGCTTAAATTAAACTTGAATACAGAAATCAGCTTTCTCTGAATTTCCTTAACAATGAAATTATGCAATGATATAAACGATGGAAAATTTAAATCATATTTTTGGGAGGAATGCGCATTGCGCAATTATCACCAATCTTCTACAAGCTGCTTATACTTTGAAAAATAGTTATGATAAATTAATTCAGATCCGTGTGCGACAATTGATCCAGGAGGCAATTGATGCACGAGCGGAAATGATGAAACTACAAGTCGCACTGAAAGACCATGAAGAAGTAAAAGTTAAAGTTGAAGTTAGAGATGCCGAAGTGATGACAGAAACAACTGATGACATGTTATATTCTCCGGAGCCACCACGAACATCATTCTCATTTCCTCCTTCACCTCAGGTATCTCTTTACTAAAGTATTAACACTTTTTAATAATGAATTATCTAAGAGATTTGATTGGCAATGAAAAATCTATTTGGACGAAGAAATGGAAGAAAGAAATGAAAATTTTTAGGCAGAACATGCTGCAGAACTTCGAAATGTGCCCATTCCACAGGACTTACCTCTTCAATTACAGGTTGAATGTTGAAATCCTTGTAGTGTAGGATCGATCTCTCATTTATTTTTGATGAGAAAGTTTATTTTTCATCTCAATTTTTAAAAAAATTTTCAAAAAACTAATTCAAATGCATTTTAATTTTTAAAATCCTTTCTATTTCCAAAAATTGGATAATTGTTAACTTTTATAAATTTTATTTATTATTATCCAAATTGGACAAAAGATGAAAAAGAATTGAATGATTATATTTAGGCTTATGAGAATGAAGCAATGGCATGGAGAATGAAAGCTGCTCAATTGGAAATGGTACTTAAGGATCAAATAATCAAAATACAAAAACAAGGCATTACACCTGAATTGGAAAAGTATCGAAATGAAAATGAATACCTGCGAACGTATATCAAGTATGTGTAAGCTTTTAATTAATTGATTTTATCAGTATGTTGGCATAGATAGAAATTCTGCTCAAATTAGATTTAGATTCGAACATCATCTTGAAGTATTATTCTATTCCTACTATTGTCATCGATCAATAAATTTGAATCGCTAGACTTGTCAATTTTTAAATTTTGAAAAAGTTTTTATAGAAATATAGAAGCGAATACATCAAATCATGTAATGGTTGATTGCGGTTTTCAAGCAAATCTGAATCCTGTTTTGTCAACAATCACCGCCGATTGTCACTTGCAACACTGTAAAGAGCGCAAAAAACATCTTACGGAAGAGAATCAACGCCTTCTTGAGAAAGTTCCTATTATTTTCATTTCATTTCTATGCATAAATTTGAAGATACGATAATTCTCACTGAGATTTTTGAGATGCATTTTTAGTCATTGCAATGTTTAAGAAAAATTCATATTGGAGGAGAATTTCAGATTGAAGAAGATAAGTTTCGATTAAATGAATATGAAGAAGATATTAATTTGTTGCGTCATACTGTCCACTCAATGGAAGAGGAAAATAAGAAGAATTTCCTTATAATGGAGCAAATGTCCAAGGAAATTGAGGAAAGAACTGCTGAAGTGGAAGCAGCCAATATTGCAGCTGTACGATTGCAGGTTAATTAGGTTCAAATCATCTCTTGCAAATCTTTCATTCAACTTTCCTTTGTTTTTCTTTTTTTTTTTTTTTATTAACTCATTCAAAAGATCAATCATTATTCTGTGACAAGTTCACACACATTTTGTTTTTGTTTTATTACAGAGCGAAGTGGCAATCAAAACAAAAGCCATTTGCTATTTAGAAGAACGCCATCAAATTTATCGTAATACAATTTTGGACAATCATTTGGTTATAAAGGATGAATTAACCGAAGATTGGGAACGTGGTTTTTCCGATCCACGATATGTTGTCAATGTCTCAAAACGTGTACAAACTGATCTCACTCAAGAAACATTACAAACCAATGAAGTTAACTTTGTCAGTCTTTCGGATAAATTGGAGGTATTTGAAATTTATTTAATAAATTTATCTTGTTAAGCATATAATTAGACATCAAAGATAATGTTAGAGAGTAACGTAAAATTTAATCATAAATCAAGTGTCCCTTCAAAAAAAAAAAAAACTGTGAGATAAATACAACGGATTTAGTATTCACCGTTTGACATATACTTGTAATGAGTGATATTCTCAGTTAGTTAGATTTTATTTTTCTTTTGAAATGTAACATTTAATAGGTTAATCTATCCTGTTTGAATTTAACACCAATGCAGGTATTGAAGAAAGAGTTTTCAACGAAGGAAAGTAGCATGTTGGAGCGTTTTCAAGAAATTGAGAAAGATTTACTGATCAAAAGTTCTTTGGTTAGTTCGTTGGCAAATCAGCTGGAGGAAGCGGATCGGGAGGCATCTCGATTATCCGATTTGCATCAAAAGGAGAGGGAAGTATTCCAGGAGAAATTATATGAACTGGGACAAATCGCTGAAAATGTACCAATGTTGCAGTTCGAAATTGAAAAACTTCAACAGGTACTGCTGATTTAATTTTCTATGGGTAAAATGAATTTAAGGATTAATTAAATGGTAATCAATTGTGATCAATTTCCTTTATTATTTCATGTGGCAGTTTGATCGATTGATGTCATAAAAATCATTACTATCAATCGTTTACAAATATAATGAGGCGAATAGTACTAAGAAGGATTGTTCAGTGCTAATTAATTTCTCAGCAGCATTTCGTATTATCATTATTACAGGAGCGTAGTTTAATGGAATATCAACTTAAAAATGCAAAGGAAGAGTATGAAGCTGGCCTGAATACGGCATTATCAGAATCGTTGAAAAAATACCACAAACAAAGTAATTATTGGGCTGAGAAATTATCAGCTATGAATGCAAGCAATGAATTGCTTCGAGTATACTTTAAACTAATGTTCTTTTCTTTTTCTAGCATCATTTATCAGATATTTTTACAAAGAAATCAAAATAGATAAGGGTATATTAAATTATTGATTTGTCACTGAAATATTACTGAGTTATCGTTGTCAAGTTCAGAATTGTTGAAAACTTATCATCAATATTTGTTTTTTTAAATCACAAAACACTCCTGACTTATTCACTGCTAAATTGATAAATGGTTACTAAATTATTGATTATCGATTTATGAATTCAATTGCTTACTACTGTTTTTATAGTTTTTGCGCCTCAAGTTATTGCAGATTGACCCCCTATGCATAATTGACAGTCTACGGTTTAGTATCAAAACTTCTTTCGCAAATAATACCATTCCTTATCTTTCCAATTATTAGAAAGTATGTAAATTTTCGAATTTTGAATTATTACTTCTTTAGAACGAGAACATCGCTTTGAAGCGTTCAATTGAAGACCTGAAACTGCGTACACAAATACAGAAGGCTGATATGTCGAAAAGGCTTACATCAAGTATCAATCATGTATCTCACCTCAAAAAACAGGTACGAATTCATTTCTTGATTTCTTGTTTCAGTTTTTGAAACTAATCAAAATTAAACAGTTTGTAATTTTCCAAGAATAAAGATTCAAACGAATGATATCATTGAAAAAAAAGAAACTAAAAAATCAAGAACAATTCCATTTTTATACAATTCCAAAAAGAAAAAAAAGTATTTTAAAAATTTAAGTTGAAATTTGAATTTCGATTTCTATTTTTTTACTATGGTTAATCAACATCCAGTTATTCTTTTCTCACCGTTTTATACATAAAGTTTCAGGGTAACTAGTAATGGGACAGGTGTGTGACATGTTTTCGAATTTCTTTTTTTCTTTTATATAACATTGCAATTTGAGAGCAATTCCATTTTGACGCACTTCCAATACGAAACGTATTTTAGTTGAATCGAAGTACACGTGATGTTCAAGTGGATGTACATCCACGTGTTGTCAGTAAATACGTTGCATGTCGACCAAATGCACGTCATAAAATGACTGACATTGAGAAAGGTGATCTGTTTGATGAGGTAGAAGAAAGATTGAAGCTTTGTCAAGGTGAATTATCTACCACTCGTCGGCAAGTTGCAGTGCTACAAAAGAAACTTGTCGATAACGGGCAAACTCAGGTCCATCCTTTTATGCTTTGTTTATCAAAAATCTGTAGCTAATTGAATTTGTTAAGATTTAATTCATTTTTAAGAATAATTTAGGTAGTAATTTTGTAATTCCAATTTTCATATCTAAAATGAATTCTGCGCTGAGATATCAGTATTGTCGGTTTTTCTTTAAAGTATATCTTCTGGTGATAACATGATACGAAATTGTACATAATAATGGCTGTCGATGGAACAATGCTTTTTTGATTCCTTAAACTTCTATTGTGATATTACAGTGACATAACATTGTTACGATGTGTTTGGGGACAGGATGTTAAAATACATCTCATTCAGGGGGAAGATCGTTCATTACATACAAAATATAGTCCAGTGAGAATTCCGCCAACGGATAAGAGATTATGCACTTCAATGATAACAAACGGTGAGGAAGAGGACAAGTTCATGTTGAACAATTTACGGGATCAGGTTCAGGAACTGGAAAAACGAAATCATGATTTGGCTGTACAGTTGCTTGCAATTGAAACAGAAAAGGAAAATTTGTTGGACAATCAACGACAACAAATCTCACATCATATTTCAGAATTCAATATTTTTCGCAAAGAATTAGATCAGGTGAATTATTATTAATTGAAATGAACTATTCCATACCTGTTTTAAAATGAAAGATAAGATTAAAGATATAAGTGAAGTCCGTCACATTGCTTTTTTCTTTTTTTTGTCTTTGATTTTGAAATTAGTATACCTTTCTTGATTTATAGGAATTGGGACGTTGCGAGAATGAAAGACAAAGGTTGAAAGCACGTGTTGCAGTTTTGGAGAAAGTAGAGAAAGACCGTGATAAATTACTTGAATTTTTAAAAAGCAAAACAGATTTAGGAGAAAAGTGCAACAGCCATTCATCTACACAAGCCATATTACAAATTGGGTAATTTAAATCATTATTGATAAAAGCTTCACGGTATTGGCGTTTTCTGATAATGCAGTGTTTCTGGAATTCGTAGTAATATAGTGGTAAAATGAAAATCGATAGTGTATTTAATATCACTTATTCTGCACAAATCTTTTCAGCCTTTCGCCTGTTCATACCTCGAGGGATTTGACTGCATTCTCCGATGATCACAGGAAAACTCCAGTCGATCGGAAAATTCGCATGAAAAGGTTGATGTTTTAATTAAATGTATTGCAAGCATTTGTTTTATAACCGATTAATTTGTTTTTGTTGTTGGTGAATAATTTAATTGAAATTTCTTGAAGTTTTTGAAGAGATAAGTCATCATAATGGTTTTTTCGGCAGAGTAACCGAGAAATACCGGAACCACGTACGTCCGTTACGATTTCTTTTCACGTGAGATCTGATGGACGTGCGTGTGTTTCATATGGCATCTCTTCTTGATATTTACCGAGTAGTAGGATAAAAAGTAATAGAGGAATAAATTAGTGAAAGTTATTGGAATAGCACAAAAGAGAGCATGAATGGAATTATCCACTCATTTTTTCACCAAAAATGCAAACTTCGAATTCATTTGGGATATATTAATTAGTGGAAATAACTTTTATCACAAAATTATGCTAATATGGTGGATTCTTTTTGTAATTTCCAGCATCATTGTTATAATACCTTCCGAGTAGACCAATTTTTTAAAAGAAACCAATCATAATTGAACAATCTTTTACTTTAATTCTTAATTAATAAACTTACCCTCTATTGCTTGGTTACTTTCCAGTGGTAATTTTGGTTATAATCAAAAAAAGATCGCGCAGTATAATTTGTAGGAAATGTTCTGAATTGGTTAAATTTACTACTTTAATGCATTATAATTATTTGAATTGTGACCTATTTTTAAGGAGCCATTTTTTTACAAGTATAAACTAAATATTCATGTAAATTATCCATATTCTTTTTGAACAAATTTCATTTAAATCTCATACGAATTGGTTTTTGTGAGGAATTATTACTAATACAATCGATTTCATTATTGTTAATTGTTGTTTTTAATCTTTAAAACTTACTTCAATCATT